TTAGGAGAATCAGATGCACAATTAAATTGTCTATCAAATTGTATTATACCGTTTTTTACCTATCCCTTCAAGTTTTCGTAGAAAATGCATTTTCTTTTAATTTAGACCTCATTTATCAATATATCCATGGAATATTGACATTTTAGATTGTTTTTAAAGCAACAAATGTACAAAATGTACAGACTAGTAATATTACCGTTTTTAGCAAAACGATAATATTACTAGTCCATTTGTATGCAAAAAGAAAACTATTTAAATCTTTATAAAATTTTACCATTAATTAAATATAACACCATTATTTCCGCCCATATACTAATTAATTACATACTTAATTGTGTTCGTTAATAAATTATTATAATAAATGTGGATTTTTGAGTCAGAAATCAATATAATAATAAGTTATCAAATTAAAGTCTTTGTTGTTATAAATAAGCATTTATTAAAAAATGAAATATCATTTTTAAGGTGTTACTTTTTATCACACTATCTAATGCCCATACAAAATTCAGTTTTTTAGTATTTGGAGCAATTATTATTAATCAACGCAAACAGTCAGTTAATGTAGTTTGAATACGGCATCATATTAATTGGTCCTCTTTAACAAATATTTAAACAGTTTTTTTTTTATTTTTTAATGAAATAAACGAATTATATCGACAATATTAGTATCTGTACTCTTTAAAAATTTGGTACATCTTTAAAAATGACCTAAAATGTCAATAGTCCATGGGTATATTGATAAATAAGTTCTAAATTACAAGAAAATGCATTTTCTACGGAAACTTAAAGAGATAGGTAAAAAATGGTTTAATATAATTTGATAGACAATTAAATTGTGCATCTGATTCTAGTAAAATATACAGGGTGTTCCATTTAAATTAAACAAGTTATTGCCGTTTGAAGCTAATAATTATTTAAAATAAATTTTTAGACACTCTGTATAAGGTAGTATTATTTTTATTATTACTACACAATAACTGATCACTAAATAAACTTCAGTAAATATTTAGTATCAAAAATTTTGATACCCTTGGAGAAATGAAGCCTTAAAATTTTTACTGCAATTTCACAAAATTGAAAATATTTCAAAAACGGTAAGTATAATAAATCTTAATCAAATTTACCTTTATTTTAATCGTAGAAACTAAAAATGTAATAATATACAGGGTGTTCCATTTAAAAAATACAACTTTGATATTTTTTACTTATTTGGGACACTCTGTATCTTGTAAAATTATTTTTAAATTGTACCTCTAATAGTCCTTCATCGAACCCAAAACTTACAATTTGTAAAAATCTCATCGTTTAGCTACAATACTCCGTGTCGTATGTGGTGAACAACCCTGTATAAACACTTCGTTATTTCAAACTCAACACCCTGTATTTTTTTAATTCCATATATCTACAAGTCATCGTAAAATAAATTACAGACACTACTTCTTTGATGGAATTTGTTTTTCTTGGTAGAATAATAAATACATATTTAATAAATATTATTTAATAAACTATTATAGGGATAAATTAAATAAATGTAACTACAGTAAAAAGTAGCTACTAACTGTCACTAAAAACTTGCCATGAACACACTAGCCCTCTTGGTTGCCATCCTATTGAAAAATTGCCCTTTATTCAAAATCTGAGCTAGATAGGTATAGGAACCTCTAATATAGTTTAAAAGAGCATTTGAATCTGCTTCGATTTGTTTAATAATAATTATTAAATACAGCGTATTGTATTTGAAATAACGAAGTTTTTATGTAAAAAACATATTTAAAATATACCAGCAATTTTTGATACCTCTGTATACATTAAACGAAGCAATTAAATTTTTCAGTAAAGTTAATTTCCTTGGCTTAAATCAGCACAAGAATTAATTCCTAAGGCAATGTACAGGGTATGAACAATCTTTTTTATTATAGCATGCATATTTAAATACCGAGGTAAACCACCCTGTATATTGAAACAAACTTTTTATTACAGGAGTGACATAATATGACCTCAAAAACACGTCTATGAAGATATTTCCGTAAAAAAAATATTGTATACGGGGTGGCAAAAAAATAGTTTATCTATCTTTGGTGGATGATTCTACAGATAAAAATGAAACAAAAACTTCCTTTGTACATATGCCCCAAAAATGCTTCCTGAAGAAGTTACAGTTATTAAATTTCAGGAAAAACGGTTTACCAATGTTCTTAGAAATAAACAAAATATATTATTTTTATTTACCCTGTATGATATATGATGGTTGCTGATTATATGATTTTAATCTTCTGCTGATGGTGCTAATATAGTTAGCGAAACGCGCGTCCTGTGCAAAAGTATAAGTGTTTTGGTGTATTGGGCTGATTTAGGTTTTTATTTTGCTCTACTATAATAAAAAAATATTCACATATCACATATAATTTTGGTTATGAGCCACTACTTTAAGAAACTATAACCTATAAAAAAACACTCATATTTTTATAGATCTTAACAGTCTATAATCGTAAATTCATATATTATACTCTTACCAGTATTTTATGATATACGCTGCAACCTCTTGACACAGTACTGATAGGGCTATTTCCGAGTAAATTGTCGAAACGACGGACGCTACGTTTCCGAGATCTTGCAGAATCCTTTTTAAGATTAATTCGAAATTTTATTAATATAAACTCATCTGGTCAGTGGGTCAGCTTGCTAGCGTAAAAGCCAGCCAGATCGGGCTGATATTTGATCGAACACGCTGTTGACTACAAATCTTTTTTACACTCTTTTATATTAGTTCTTTTCTTTTTTCACATCTTCTTCTTCCAAAGCAATTTATTTCGTCCTAGGGTAGAATTGGCTATCGTAGGCCCTAGTGAACTTACCGTATTTATTTCTATTTAATAGATTGGTCTACGCTGATACATAGGTAGTTTATATCAAAGTGATTTATATAAAAAATAAATAAATTTAATTTATATAATTATAAATTCAATATTTTTAAGATGCTAAGGTGAATGGTTCTTGACGAATTCATTTAACTACCTAAAATTCTAGAGAAATGATAAATAATTTTTAAATAAATTAGGTATACTTTAGACATAGAATTTTTTTTAGAAGAATTTTTTTTAGAAGAGCAGTTGCCTGGTACACAAAACTAGAGCAACGGACGGCAAGGCTAAACCTATGCAAAGTCCAGAGACTAGCATGTGTTTGCATCACAGGAGCCATGAGAACCTGTCCAACAGCAGCAATGGAGGTCATTCTAGATCTAACACCACTGCACATTGTCATTGGTAGATATGCCAATGCGAAATGATTAGAATGGTCACTAACGGAATTAGTACTGGGAGAATTGTCAGATCAGGGGCTTGGAACACCCTCAAAAAGGAAGTACCACTCCTGCAACTCCCAGTGGACGATATGCCAAGAACGTACAACTTTGACAAACATGTCAATGTAGTATTGAGCAATAAGAAGGATTGGAAGAGCGAAACGCTTGCCCATCAGTTAAAAGACCATACCATAACTTGGTATACTGATGCTTCCAAATCCAATACGGGAACAGGGATCGGAGTGTTTGGGCCGAGAGCTAATTACTCCGAACCAATGGGCCCTAGTATCCTACAGGCAGAAATCTACGCTATCGAGAGATGCGTACAACTTATCTTAGATAGGAACTATCGGACACAAGAAATAGCCATCTTATCTGATAGTCAAGCAGCGTTAAAGGCGATCAACTCAGTATCAATCAATTCGAAATTGGTCAAAGAATGCATAGAGAAGCTGAATAAATTAGGCAAAGAAAACAAAGTCCTCCTACACTGGGTGCCTGCTCACCAAGGGATAGAAGGCAATGAAAAAGCAAATAATTTAGCTAGGAAAGGAGCGAACACTCCACTAACTGGACCAGAACCGTTCTGCTTTCCAAGTGGTAACCAACTCAAGGCGGAACTCAAGAACTTGGAAGATTCCATCCGCAACCTGGAATGGAAATCTTGCAATGGTCTAAGACACTCGAAGAAGTTTTTGAGGGCTTATGATCAAGAAAAATCACAGATCTTCCTGGGTGAATAAGAACAATCTTCGGATTGTCACGGGGTTTTTAACAGGACACTGTCTCCTCAATGAACACCTCAGTAGATTGAAACTAAGAAGAAACGGCGAATGCAGATTCTGTGGGGAAGATGGGGAAACACCAGTACACCTCATCACTGAGTGCGCCGAGACGACAACCATTCGTGCCATGAATTTTGGTACGACTGATATTGGAGATGGAGAACTACCCTCTATAAAACCGTCCCAGATAATGGCTTTTGTCAAAGCCCTGGGACTGTATGATGAGTTATGATTCAAGAAAGGGGGACACAATGGATCTGTAAGGTCGAAGTGATTAACCCCCCTCCCACTCATTCTAAATTCTACTTTAGACATAACAAATATTTGTTTTTTTTTATATACAGCTGCTGTAATATAAAAAAAATGTATATTCAATTATATACAATTTATTTTCTAATTTAAGTACAGTTGGGGTTTGGAACCTTTGGTGTTACAACAACAAAATAAAACACTTATTTACTAAAGTACACCAAAACGCTTTACTTTTTAACACTGACATTCGCGCTGTTTAATTAAAGATTAATTAAAAATATTAGTAACCGACTTAAAATTTTCAGCAGCTTAACAATACCAATTTAAAAACTTGCTTAAAATAGTCTTTTTTTAGATAACTAAATTAAATAACATTACATGAAATGAATGTACTAAACTCTTAGTACCATGTCTTAACCTAATATTATATACTTGGTATCATAACGCCATTAGTTACGATACACATTAATTTAATCTGGTATTCTATTATATCTTAATTTTCCTTCGCCATTACATATCAACATAGATTACCATATTAATTTACTTTGTTGCTTCTTTTCTTTCTCTTTTTATGTAATCAGTATAATTTTTATATAATTTAAATGTAGTAATAAATATCTAATAATTTTATTAACAAGAATTTTTATTTTTGTTTTCAGGTTTCATTTTTTTCAACCAGTCCGGAACTCAGTAACAAACAACGTTTCGAATACTTCTCCCGTACAATTCCTTCGGACCATCATCAGGTTAAAGCCATGGTTGACATCGTGATGCAAATGGGATGGAGTTATATTTCGATCATTTACGAGGAATCGAACTATGGTATTAAGGTAAGTTTAAAATGGCATCTAATGTAAAACCCATTCAACTTAATTTTTATTAAATTAGTTCTGCTAGGATAGCATCTCGCTTAATACTCTCTCTGAGTCACGGTTTTGCTGGACATTAATACCTCAAATAGGGAAATAGTACGGAATTTGAAATAGTGCTTAGAGAGGATTATATATTGAGATCTCTCTATCAAATTCGGATTATTTAACTATTACCGATGAACCAGACAAATAGCACAGACATATTCAATATCGATCGAGGGGTAACATAAGACGACATACTGTCCTCCAAACTATTCGTTGCTGTGCTAGAAAGTATGTTAAAAATGGTAAACTGGGATTCAACAGGAATTAACATCGACGGCAAATTGATAAATCATCTCTGTTTTGCAGATGATATTGTTTTAATAACAGACAACGTACAGGAAGCGCAGAATATGCTGGATATGCTAAATGGTACTTCGGAAAAAGTCGGTTTGAAAATTAACTTATCAAAGACACAATACATGGCAAACCTAGTACTGGGTGAAAATTGGTCCTTTCGAACTCGATGGCATATGTGTCCATCAGGAGTTTACCATTAGCTGAAGAAGTACCTTTCTTGGATTGGATGGTATAAATTCATTATTAAATAACATTATTATCATCAAAAGGATATATTAAAAGTGAATTATAACGAGAAAACTTTCCTGGACTTGGTCCTTTCGAACTCGATGGCATGTGTCCATCAGCAGTTTACCTTTAGCTGAAGAAGTACGTTTTTTGGATTGGAGGGTATAAATTCATTATTAAATAACATTATTATCATCAAAAGGATATATTAAAAGCGAATTATAACGAGAAAACTTTCCTGGACTTGGTCCTTTCGAACTCGATGGCATGTGTCCATCAGCAGTTTACCATTAGCTGAAGAAGTACGTTTCTTGGATTGGATGGTATAAATTAATTATTAAATAACATTATTATCATCAAAAGGATATATTAAAAGCGAATTATAACGAGAAAACTTTCCTTGACTTGACCCTTTCGAACTCGATGGCATGTGTCCATCAGCAGTTTACCATTAGTCGAAGAAGTACGTTTCTTTGATTGGAGGGTATAAACTCATTATTAAATAACATTGTTATCATCAAAGCAATATATTAAAACCGAATTATAACGAGAAAACTTTCCGGGACTTGGTCCTTTCGAACTCGATGGCATGTGTCCATCAGCAGTTTACCATTAGCTGAAGAAGTACGTTTCTTGGATTGGATGGTATAAATTAATTATTAAATAACATTATTATCATCAAAAGGATATATTAAAAGCGAATTATAACGAGAAAACTTTCCTTGACTTGACCCTTTCGAACTCGATGGCATGTGTCCATCAGCAGTTTACCATTAGCCGAAGAAGTACGTTTCTTTGATTGGAGGGTATAAACTCATTATTAAATAACATTGTTATCATCAAAGCAATATATTAAAACCGAATTATAACGAGAAAACTTTCCAGGACTTGGTCCTTTCGAACTCGATGGCATGTGTCCATCAGAAGTTTACCATTAGCTGAAGAAGTACGTTTCTTGGATTGGAGGGTATAAATTCATTATTAAATAACATTATTATCATCAAAACGATATATTAAAACCGAATTATAACGAGAAAACTTTCCTGGACTTGGTCCTTTCGAACTCGATGGCATGTGTCCATCAGCAGTTTACCATTAGCTGAAGAAGTACGTTTCTTGGATTGGATGGTATAAATTAATTATTAAATAACATTATTATCATCAAAAGGATATATTAAAAGCGAATTATAACGAGAAAACTTTCCTTGACTTGACCCTTTCGAACTCGATGGCATGTGTCCATCAGCAGTTTACCATTAGCCGAAGAAGTACGTTTCTTTGATTGCAGGGTATAAACTCATTATTAAATAACATTGTTATCATCAAAGCAATATATTAAAACCGAATTATAACGAGAAAACTTTCCGGGACTTGGTCCTTTCGAACTCGATGGCATGTGTCCATCAGCAGTTTACCATTAGCTGAAGAAGTACGTTTCTTGGATTGGATGGTATAAATTAATTATTAAATAACATTATTATCATCAAAAGGATATATTAAAAGCGAATTATAACGAGAAAACTTTCCTTGACTTGACCCTTTCGAACTCGATGGCATGTGTCCATCAGCAGTTTACCATTAGCCGAAGAAGTACGTTTCTTTGATTGGAGGGTATAAACTCATTATTAAATAACATTGTTATCATCAAAGCAATATATTAAAACCGAATTATAACGAGAAAACTTTCCGGGACTTGGTCCTTTCGAACTCGATGGCATGTGTTCATCAGCAGTTTACCATTAGCTGAAGAAGTACGTTTCTTGGATTGGAGGGTATAAATTCATTATTAAATAACATTATTATCATCAAAACGATATATTAAAACCGAATTATAACGAGAAAACTTTCTTGGACTTGGTCCTTTCGAACTCGATGGCATGTGTCCATCAGCAGTTTACCATTAGCTGAAGAAGTACGTTTCTTGGATTGGATGGTATAAATTAATTATTAAATAACATTATTATCATCAAAAGGATATATTAAAAGCGAATTATAACGAGAAAACTTTCCTGGACTTGGTCCTTTCGAACTCGATGGCATCAGCAGTTTACCATTAGCTGAAGAAGTACGTTTCTTGGATTGGATGGTACAAATTCATTATTAAATAACATTATTACCATCAAAAGGATATATTAAAAGCGAATTATAACGAGAAAACTTTCCTGGACTTGGTCTTTTCGAACTCGATGGCATGTGTCCATCAGCAGTTTACCATTAGCTGAAGAAGTACGTTTCTTGGATTGGATTGTATTAATTCGTTATTAAATAACATTATTATCATCAAAAGGATATATTAAAAGCGAATTATAACGAGAAAACTTTCCTGGACTTGATCCTTTCGAACTCGATGGCATGTGTCCATCAGCTGTTTACCATTAGCTGAAGAAGTACGTTTCTTGGATTGGAGGGTATAAGTTCATTATTAAATAACATTATTATCATGGCAGTATACTTAATCCCAATAAAGAAAGAAAGAATTTTAGTAAAACATATAAAACATAAAATATTTTTTTGTTTACCAAAAATGTACTACTGTCACTTATACTGCCTCCGTACACGCTATTTGCTCATTCGTCTCATTACGAATGCCCCGTAGAAAAGTTCTGCCCTTTTTTATTGTACGTAAACGAATAATAAAAGATATATTTGTGATACCGTTGAATTCCCTGCTTTCTGTAATTCGCTGTATTATAGTCAAATCTTGATACCACATTACACGTGAATTACAAACCAAATGTTTCCTAAATACAAAAAGAAAACTTTTATTAGAATACAAAAGTTCATTGTTTGCTTTGTTACTTCTAAATATTTTTTCTGTCGTCTCGATTATCTAGAATGACTATTTCAATTTCTTTCACGTTTTTCTAAATTAACATTTATTCGATTCTTTTTGTCGCCGTTGGTACATTATCTCGAATACCCGAGGAGACAAAAGAGAGGTTTTTTATTTAAATAAATTTAAGAAAGTTAAATGTAGCTTGATTATTTTCAATTAGTGTTTTTTTTTACGTTAATATGTTAAAGACAAGTTGAAAATGTAGAATGTAACAATTAATTTATTATTGTTTTGGTAGTTTTAGTAAAAAACCTGGGCAAAGAGATTTTCTGTATCTGTAAAAAACGTTTTAATTATCCTAGTGGTAAAATACCTCAAAAGACGTGCTTGCTTCACGTAAATAATCAATTTCTCATTCAAAATTAATTAGGAAATATGATGATATATTGAACTACTTGCTCTACATGTATGTTTTAAAATTAGATTAAAGGAGAGAGCAAGACAGAGGTGAGTGGCATAGTTCGAGCTTCAAATAGAGACGTCAAAAAGTTTTCTCGTTATATGACTTGGCGTTATGCTGTAGGGGACTATACAAATTAATTAATTTCGTGCTTCTTAGACATATTAAATACGGATACTCACCGTTTCTGCTGTATAACAAGGTGATTTCAAGTGTTTATACAGAGAGTTATACAGGGTGTTTCAAAACAAATGCGAAAAACTTCAGGGGGTTATTCCTTGTTCAAAATAAAGGGTAGTTTGCTTTATAAACGTTGGGTCAAAAGTCAACCATTAGGGAGATATCGCGGTACAAAGATGGCGAAAAAATAATGTTTTTATTTTTTATCTTGAAGACGAAAAGAGATAGACTAATGAAATTTTACGGAAGCATTACTGTTATGAAAACACACTTTCTGGTAATTTTTTCACTTTTTTAAAATGAGTGGAAGGGTTTGAAATAAACTACCCCTATCATTCTTGTTAATGAAATTTAAAGAAAAATCTTATCAAACACATGCAAAAAAAATTAATTTTGATAGTTTAGTTTATTTAGAAACTTTTTTATCTTGTGTGTTTTTTGATAAAACTCACCGATTTGAAATTAAAAAATAAAATGTAAAGCATTACATGTCAGGACAAAAAACATTTTTAGATAAAGAATCTAGTGGGCTGCTGTAATTTTTTTAGGAAAAAATCTAGTCGGCCGCTGTCACTTTTTAGGATGTTTCTAATATTGTTTTATTTGACATTACCCTACTGCAATATGTTATTATCTAGATTATTATTATTATCATTATTATCACTAGATTCTTAATCTAAAAATATTTTTAGTCCTGACATGTAATGCTTTACATTTTTTTTTTAATTTCAAATCGGTGAGTTTTATTAAAAAAATACAAGAGATAAAAAAGTTTCTAAACAAAGTAAACTATCCAAATTAATTTTTTTGCATGTGTTTGATAAGATTCATTCATTTTCTTTAAATTTCATTAACAAGAATGATAGGGGTAGTTTATTTCAACCCCTTCCACTCATTTTAAAAAAGTGAAAAAATTACCAGAAAGTGTGTTTTCATAACAGTAATGCTTCCATAAAATTTCATTAGTCTATC